CTTCCTAATACATTTTATGAAGCAAGCAAAACCCTCATGCCAAAACCAGGGAAGGACGTTACTAAGTTTATAGACCAATATCCCTCATGAACACAGATGCAAAAATTCTCAAAAAAAATTCTAGCCAACAGAATCCAGTAGCACATCAAAAAGATAATACGTCATGATCAAGTGGGATTCATATCAGGGATGCAAGGATGGTTCAGCATTAGAAAAAGGATCAACGTAATCCACCATATAAATAAGAAAAAAGAAAAGAACCACATGATCATATCAATTGATGCAGAAAAGGCGTTTGATAAAATCCAACATCCACTCCTAATAAAAATACTCAACAAAGGAATTGAAGGGAAATTCCTCAACACAATTTACAGTATATATACAAAACCAACAGCCTACATTTCTCTATGAAGAGAAACTGAAAGCCTTCCCTCTGAGGAATTAAGCAGGTTTGCATGGGCTAAGTGGGACAGAGGTAAATACCGATGCATGCACAACCTTGGAACAACAGGGCTCTGAGATACAGGGATTGAGACATTGTTGGAATGGGCAAAAGGGGAGAAATAATGTTAAGATGCTTGGTTGTCTTTGAATCTTGGTTTCCCTGACATAACATTATAAAATAGACAGTTGAGGGGGAAAGAAAGGAATAGCCAGAAATATCACCATGGAAAGCTTGTAAGTCTGTCTTTTGCCTATAATTGATAGGAATACCTAAAATGGGGCTACAACATGCCCAGTGAAGGAGGCTTCCTGCAGAGCTTCTGCATTACATAAGACCATAGGTGGAATCTTGAACCCCATCCAGAATCTTCTGAGGTGGAAAATTTCCACTTGAAAAGACAAGAAGACCAGCCAGGAGCGGCTAGAAGAACAGAAGATACTTCGTGAAAGAAAGACCAACAGGAAAAATAGAAAACAGTAACTGCAGTCCGACTGATTACTACAAGAACAAGCAAGTTGCTCACCCAGAAAACATCAAGGCAAGTGGTCAGGTGCCCTCAGAGAAAACCCCCTTCCAAGACTAAGACTCAATGGAAATACACAAGCAGACATGCGCTCAGTTTGGTGACCACATCCGTTACCAATAAGGGGAAGTGAGGGAAAAACAGCAATGAAGCTGCAAGCTAAGCCCTACAAGGTTCAATAGACTCCTGTGAACCTGGGTGGAGACCTGGTTGACCAGCAGTGTGGCAAGACCTGGGAACTCTTAGGCCCAGAGTCAATGACATAGACACAGAGGACTAGAGTAGAGAGTGAAGCATCAAACTGATAAGAAGAGAGGACATATGCATAAGAACACGCACACTTGCAGATAATACCCACTTGACCTGGCTTCAATGACTGGAGGATCAGAGCTCAATTAGAAGAAGAAAGAAAAGAAAAAAAAAAGGGTAATCTGATACAATTTGATGGACTTGACCTACACCTATGGATGCAGTAGCTCAAAAGAGGGAACAAATCTTTACAGTGAGGATCATTCCCACCACCACACCCCTTCATACACAGAGTAGACAAGGATAGGCAACTTGGACATTGGCTACCCAAAATAGGGGGGCTACAAAAGCAAGAAGTGATTGGCTTACAAGTTTTAAAGAGGCAGCCTAGATCCAGAGGGTGCAGAGGAAGGTAGAATCTCCACTGAGTAGTATCCAATCTGTCTGGGCAGAGCTGATGAAAGGGATAGGACTCTTGTGATACAATAGTCAACAATTGTTATTAGGACTGACTGTGAGGGTTGGAAATGTAAAGGTAGATGTTTTGTAGCAAAAGGAGGGAAGTGATTGACTCCAGGAGATTGCACTCCAGGAGCAGAGATCCCTAGGACCATCAAGAGAGAATAGCAGAAAGCGGGACCCTACCCAGAGAAGCAGTGATGCTAGAGATGGAGACAGAGACAATGATGTTGAGAGATAGAACAGCTGGGGACTCTAGACCCAGGGAGGGAGAGGGGCTGTGTGTTGAGGACGAGGAGACAGGCTTGCAGGGTATACCCTCTGGTTGGTTGATGATGCATGGAGGGGACTGTAACCATGGCAATGACGATATTACAATAGGATGAATGTAAAGCTAATGTTCTCCCATGGAAACTTACACATAATTTACAATAAAACATTTAAAAAAAACCAGTAGTACTTGGTTTATTTTCTTGGAGCCAAAAACCATCTTGACTGATATAGTCCATGAGTTTCTTTTTCTACATACTCTGGATAACACAGGTCCAGTTCTATTTCTTCCCCTTGTAGAACTAGGAGAGCCTTCTAAAGTGGTTTGTCCGTTAGCCCATGTTTTCAGCTCTGATAATCAATCTGCTTCTAGCAGGTCTGTGGCTTGACTGAGAGAGAGCAGAAGAAGAGTTCAGAAATCTACATTCCACTTGAGAGACAGGAAGTAGTTCCAAAGCAAGGATACCTGAAGGGTCTCAGCAGAAGTAAAGCAATGTATGACATGACCTGGCTCTAGTTTGTGGTGAGAAATAAAGGACAGAGGTATCTAACCAAGGATAAAGATACCAGCAGAGATACAATTTAGTGACCAGTACATGTAATCCCGGGGGAAACCTCCATGCTTGTTCTTTCCTCTCCCTGATTTCCTTTTCTCAGAAGAAAGGACTCTAGTAGAGCAAAGGCAGGTAAAATGCCCAGCTTACCTTTCTTGATTAGGCTCTACGCTCCCAGGAAGGACCATCCAGTGGGAGACAACAATGGGGAGCCGAAAAAGGCCAGGCCAGGAGGTGTACAGTTGAAGCAGCAGCCCCAGTCAGTGATGCAATTCCACAGATTACCTATATATGTTCCTCAGTGGTTTCTCAAACAAGTTATGGTACTACTCACCAAGCTCTCCTCAAGCCACTTCTTTATATAGGCAGCTGTTGAACTTGGAATCTGGTTCAAGAGGGCTGCTCTCTCCTGAGGATGATCCAGCATCTCCAGGGCCAGCCTCAAGTCCTCGACGAGATGGAGCACTGGGAAGGGATTCGTGTAGGAGACCGGGGAAGACAAGCCAGGCTCACAGGCACCATCACTAATATCTGTACCTGTTTTAGTGCCTATAATAAGAGAGAGGTGGGAATCTCAGTAGCATTCAGAAGAAGAATGTCAGAGGAGGATGACTACCCATAGGGATACAGAAGTTCACACACTTAGACAACAGGGGAAAACACAGACCAACATTTACCAATAACCCAAAGCATGCAAGTTACATGAGATGCTATTCTTCTTCTTCTATTAGATTAATAGATTTATATTTTTAAATGAATGTGGTAGGTTGTTTGCACAGATGGCCACCAAAAATCCTTTCACTTTTTTACCATGGTGGTGTATGCATTTGTCACTCCTTCCACCAAGAGCTGACTCTTGACCCTGGGCTGGCCTAGTGACTGGCTCTGATCAGTAGACTGCAGCAGAAGTGGACCTGGGCCTTAAGAGGTCCGACAGCGTCTACCTTTACTCTTGCAAACCACCATGTAAACAAAGTCCAGTTACTCTGCTACAGAGACAGCCCTAACCATTCCAGCCAACCCCGCTGCAATGATAAACATGTGAAGCCATCTTGTGTACTCCAGCACCAGACAAGCCACACAGCTCAGACTGTACAGAGCAGGAATGAGCCATCCTGCTAAGCACTACCCAAATCATGGCAGTTGGCCCAAGTCAGTGGGGTGGTGTTTAAGCCACTGTATTTTGGGATGGTTTGTTACACAGAAAACAACAATTAAAATTACCATTTTGATATAGGTTTCATGAATTGATATTTTTCTGAAACTTCCCAATTGAAAGCTCTCTCTATCCCTAGATATATTTACAGTTTTAAACTTGTCTGAATTGCTGTTTATCTGGATGTCATCTCCATAGTCTGGGCTGTGAGGTCTTGGATGGAGAAGTCCACATCATATTTGGCTGAGTGTTAGCATCATGCCCTGTAGCCAGTAGAAGGTGAACAGGGCACTGACTCAATGCCTGCACTCGTGCTTAGCTGAGCAGCTAGAATGGAAAAGCACTTGGGTTTCCTTACAATCCTGGGCTAGTGGGCCACACCTTTCAAATTACATATTACCCAAATAGAACTTTCTATCTTTCTAAATTCTACTACTTTAAAATAAAATAAAGTCTTCTTTGCATAAACAGAGTGATGCATTTTTTTAAAACCAAAATGGGGACAGCATAGTCTAGCAAAGGAATCCTTTGCTGCTTTTATCAATAAGAAACACTTTCCTTGGTGGAATTTCTAAGACAGTTAGATTGTTTATACGGCAAATAGGATGAAATATTTGAAATCAGGACTCTACTGGAAAATGAGAGCTGTAGGGTCACCACATCCAAGGTTACAGTGCAGGCCTGACGCCTCATTCCCTTCAAATTCCCAAGGACCAACTTTTCCCACTTGGCAGACTTTTGGAATGAAAATTCTACACAGAGGGAAACAATTACTACTTGATTGCTGGTTTTCTTTCTGAAAGTACATGTTACAGAGAAACATGGATCACAATCCACAAGCAAAGCCGTGGCTTTGGGGACTCAGGAAACTGCCCAATTACCCTCACTACATATCCAGTTTTCAAGGAGGGAAGTGAGCAAAATCAGAGTAAGACTCCCACCTTCAAACAACTGCCGAGTAATTCCTCCTCATTCTGACACCCTCTAATTTCAACACATATCCATCCAGTTTCACTCAAATTAAACGTATTTTTACATCAGCTACTTTATAAAGTTAAAATGAGTTAAGCTTGGGAGGAGGAAGGATAAAGGGAAAGAACTGTCTATCACTCTGTGACTCTAGACAAGTCTCTTTCCCTGGCTGGTAACCTCCTTAACCTAAAGCTTTGGGATTCTTCCCTACCTGGCTGTGTATATGGGTATCTGTGCATGTTTTTTGGTTGATGCAAATTACTTGTGCTCAGATGGAAGGGATACACAGTCAATGTAACAAAAGAAAATGGTTGATGTCCAACAATTTCAAGATGTAGCATATGATCAAGAGTCAATGATACGGACGGAAGATGCATTGAAGGAATTGACAAAGAACAAGGCACCAAGAATTGATGGAATAAAAACTGAAATCTTTCAAGAAAGTGAGGCGGCAGTGGAGGCACTCACTCATCTATGCCAAGAAATTTGGAAGATAACTATCTGGCCGATTGACTAGGAGTGATTCATATTTGTGCGCATTCCAAAGACAGGTGAATGCAGAAATTGTCGGAAAACATCTTTGCTATCCCATGTGAGCAAAGTTTTACTAAAGGAAATACAGAAATGGCTGCAAGCATACATTCACAGAGAATTCCCAGAGGTTCAAACTGGATTCAGAAGAGGATGTGGAATGAGGTCTGATGGATTTTGGTTGACAGCAGAGAATACTAGGAAGATGTTTACCTGTGTTCTATTGACTATGCAAAGGCTTTCAATTGTGTGGATCATGACAAGTTATGGACAACACTACGAAGTATGAGTATTCTTGAACACTTATTTGTGCTCATGAGGAATCTGTACATGGACCAAGAGGCAGTTGTTCGAACAGAACATGGGCACACTGAATGGTTTAAAATTAAGAAAGGTGTGCGACAGGGTTGTATTCTTTCACCACACTTATTCAACCTGTGTGCTGAGCAAATAATCCAAGAAGCTGGGTTATATGAAGAACAATATGGCATCAGGATTGGAGGAAGACTCATTAACAACCTGCGATAGGCAGATGATACAACCTTCCTTGCTGAAAGTGAAGAGGACTTAAATATTTACTGATGAAGGTCAAAGAGCACAGCCTTCAGTATGGATTGCATCTCAGTGTCAAGAAAACAAAATCCTCACCACTGGACCAATAAACATCATTCTTATCAACTGAGAAAAGATTGAAGTTGTCAAGGACTTCATTCTTTTTGGATCAACTATCAAGGAGCTATGGTAGCGTAGTGGTTATGAATTGGGCTGCAAACCACAAGGTCAGCAGTTCGAAACTACCAGCTGTTCCGCAGGAGAAAATTGAGGCTTTCTGCTCCTGTAAAGATTTATAGCCTCAGAAACCCTGTACAGGGTCGCTATGAGTCGGAACCAACTCCACGGCACATAACAACAACATCAACACTCACAGAAGCAGTCGTCAAGAAATCAAACGACGTATTGCATTAGGCAAATCTTCTGCACAAGAACTTTTTAAAGAGTTGAAGAGCAAAGATGTCAGCTTGAGGACTAAGGTGCGCCTGACACAAGCCATGGTGTTTTCAATAACCTCATATGCATGCAAAAGCTGGACAGTGAATGTGAATAAGCAAGACCGTAGAAGAACTGATGCTTTTGAGTTATGGTTTTGAGGAGAATATTAAAAGTGCTATGAGCTACCAAAAGAACCAACAGATCTGTGTTGGGAAGAAGTGCAGCCAGAGTGCTCCTTGGAGGCCAAGATGACCAAACTTTGTCTCTCATACTTTGGACATACTGTCAAGAGGGACCAGTTGCTGGAGAAGGATATCATGTTTGGTAAGGTGGCGGGTCAGAGAAAAAGAGGAAGACCCCAGCGAGATGTATTGGCCAAATGGCAGCATCAATGGGCTCAAGAGTGGCAACAATTGTGAGGTTGGTCCAGGATTGGGCAGTGTTTTGTTCTGTTGTGCATAGGGTCACTATGAGTCTGTACTGACTCGATGGCACCTAACAACAGCAACAAGTTTAAACACTGGCAGTTTGAACTTACTCTCAGAACCACTGAAGACAGACCTAGAAATCTGCTTCCATAAAGATTTTGTTGTTGTTAAGTGCCAACGAGTCTGTTATGCTTCATAGTGATCCTATATAGGATTTCCGAGGAGAGACTGGTGAGTTTGAACCACCGACCTTGTGGCCCAGTGCTTATCCAACAGGCCACACCACTTGTTGTTGTTAGTAAGTGCCGCTGAGTTGGTTCCAACCCATAGCGACCCTATATAGTGTTTCCAAAGAGCAGCTGGTGAGCTTGAAAGTCCTCCATAAAGGCTACAACCAAGAAAATCCTATGAAGCAGTTCAACTCTATAACATATGGGGTTGCCGTAAGTCAGAATCAACTTGACAGCAACAGGTGACTTTCATTTCTATTTCTTTTGAAATTAGTATTTCTTTCATTATCAAAACAGATAGTCAATAAATGCTAGATGAAGGAAGTAAAAAGATAACAACATAATAATTGGCCCAAAATCTAGTTGAAGTGGTGTGGTGGTGCTGGTGCTGGTGTGACCTGGAGTCTCTTCCGACTCATAGTGACCCTGTACAGGGTTTCCGAGGATGCAAATCTTTACGGGATCAGAAAGCCTCATCTTTCTCCTGCAGAACCGCTTGTAGTTTTGAACTGCTAACCTTGAGGTTAGCAACTCGACTAGTAACCACTGTGCTACCAGAGCTCCTTAGTTGTATTGGCCGTGACAGCAAAGTCCGAGATGACAAGCTCCACTTGATTTTAAAGCTAACAACTAGATATGACCTTACGAAAGAAATCTAAGTGAAGAAGAAACTTCTCAATGGTTCTCTTGGGCTTGGGGATGTAAATGATACTGAATAAATAGAAAAGGCATCAATACAAGGGGTGATTGAATAACCCTAAATTATCTCCTAGAAGATATGGTAAACAGCCTCTAAGAGGCCCCCTCTGACTCCTGCTCTGGATATTCAGGCCCTCATGGAGCTCACCACCCGCCTTCCCCCATATAATATCAAGGTTTAGTCTGTGTGACTAGTATATTATGACAGAAGTGATGGAGGAATGTCACTTTCAAGGCAAGGTCATAAAAGACATCATAGGTCTACCTTGTTCTCTCCCTCTTGGACCACGATTCTGGGGAAAGCCTGCTGCTATGTGTGAGGACAGTCAAGCAGCCCTATAGAGAAGTCCATGTGGTAAGGAACCATGGCTACTACCAACAGCCAACAAGGAGCTGAAGTCCTCTACCTGCAGCCATGCAAGTGAGCCAGGATGGAAGCAGATCCTCTACCCAGTCAAGCCTTCAGATGACTGTAGCCTTGGCTGACATTTTTACATTTACATTTTTACATGAGAGACCCAAAACTACCCAACTACACCACTC